ACCCGGGCCACCAGTAGCAGAGTGTGCGCACTTAACCCCTAAGCCACAGGGCCAGCCCCCACTACATCTTTTTAAGTCTCACTGAGACTAGTAATTCAATTCAGTTTAAATTAGCGAATTCAATCTGTAAATATTTTCTGAGTAGCTATTATGTAACTATGTAACTTCCCTCCCACACACAGCCACTGTTAGGGGAAGCGGGTGCTGCCTGGGAGGGTGCCAGGACAGGAGGCAGAGACCTCGTTGTCTCAGCAAGGCCAGAAGCTCAGACGTGGAGGTAAATGGCACACGTGCCAGGGCCCTGGGGTATCCGGTCTGTAAGGGAGAAGCCACGTGAATGGAGGCAGAAATGTCACATGGGTGAGACAAGCCGTGAGTCCAGCTGAAGGCTGGGTGGTGGGAAGGGAGGGCTTTCAGGAGGAGGCGTTTTCAAGGGTAAAGGAGAACCCGGGATGTGTAGACAGGAGGGAGAGCAGGAGGAGGACAAGGGCATGGGAAGGCAGGGCACAGAGGTAACGTGCTGGGGAAGCAGGGTAGTTCACGCCCTGGGCATCGGCCCCTGGGACTCCGGGATCGAGGTCCAACGTCCTGCGCTCGTGGCTTGTCATGACAAGCACACTGGGGGTAACACAAGTGTCCCCCTCTAGGGACACTTCTCCTGGGTTCCTGCTGCCTACTGACCACAGGGCATCCATAGGTCTCCCATCACCAGGGTCCAGCCACGCTCCCCGCCACATCAAGCGGCTTCGGGGGCTGAGAGGGTCCCCCTGGGAGCCCGGGTGCAGGCTCAGGGAACTGAACTCAGTACTTGCTCCCACAGAAACCCACAGACCACTGAGGCAGGACCACTCGTCCACCTGGGTCACCTTGGCAAGAGGCCAGCAGCGAGCCTGATTCTGCAATATGCTTTTCAAGCAAGGTCTTCACGTCTGTGATGGTGTTTCGAGAAAGCCCTGAGAAGTGGAAGGAAGCTTTCAAAACAGTGTCAGACTGCGGACATGGCCAACAGGGACCCAGGAAGGGAGGGCACAGAGGAGGACGCTGGCGCCCCCTGCTGCCCGAGAGGGGCCAGACGGAGCAGTGGGCCACCACACGTGCTCGCACACACCAGACACACACACATGACAGACACTCACACACACAACACACGTGACGCCCACACAGGACACAGACACACAACGGTGTGAGCCAACACACAAAAACAGACACTTTAATCCAGAAAAAAAGGAAATTAAAGGGCCAGCCTGGTGGTGTAGTGGTTAAGTTCGTGCGCTCCACTTCGGCGGCCCAGGGTTCGCAGGTTCAGATCCCGGGCGCAGACATATGCACCACTTATCAAGCCACACTGTGGCAGGCGTCCCACATATAAAGTAGAGGAAGATGGGCATGGATGTTAGCCCAGGGCCAATCTTCCTTAGCAAAAAGAGGGGGATTGGCAACAGATGTTAGCTCAGGGCTGATCTTCCTCAAAAAAAAAAAAAAAAAGGAAATTAAAGCAGCAAAGTCATAATTTTTAAAAATAATTTAACTACTAAAGTTTATCTGAAGCATATTCTTTTTTCTCAAAGAAGCTTAAGAAAACAAGACTTTGAACATAGGAATGGGGATATGTTCAATAGAAGCCCATTTTGAAGGGGAGCGAAGTGGGGAGGGAGGTGAATTAAATATTTGGCAGCCCCAAGGACAGAACTTGCTGTGAGGAATTAACTCCTGTGTGGGCGCCTTGAGGGCCCAGGACGCGCCCAGGCTGCAGCAACACGGCCTTTCAGGGCTGAGCGTCGGGGCAAGAACTGCAGGTTGCGCTCTCGGTGACAGTGTGTACAGGCCCGTCTCCCCGGGAGGCCCGTGGCCTGTCACCAGCCCGGTGTCCGACCAGCCACGTGCTCCGGTGCTGAGCACACTCCCAGCTGCTCCAGCTGTGGGCACTGCTGAGACAGCCTCCGCCCTCCCACATGCCCCCATTTTGCTTCTGCAGTGACGCATTTTTCTCTTAAAATTATCAGAACGAAAAGCTACAGTTTTTAAAAAATCTTCATCCATGTAGAACAAGTTCCAAAAGAGCTTACAGTCACACGACCCCACCCTGACTCCGAGGACCTATGTTCCACGGTTGTCACAGGCGACAGCTGCCGTCAGATCAATGGCAGTCATAGGTCCCTATCAATGACCTGTGACAATCTGCACCTGTTACCTGCTCCTCGCATGACAGAGATGTAAGCCAGGATAGATGAGCACATAGTTTGATCTGAAAAAGAGTCTCAATTTTCAGGTCACTTTAACCTACTGCAAATTCACTATTGTTTCTAAGACAACGTGAAGAGAACATAACTCTGCGAGAAGCTTTTTGCCTGCAAGTGGTTGCTGGGAGGAATCTGGAATATGCACACAAGAGAGTCACTGTCAGGAAAGGTGCTTGAGAGGAAAGGGCGAGGTTCGCCTCTCAATGTTCTGCTAAAACCTCCGGAAGATCAAAAAGTCAGAGCATCAGTTTTAGGAAGGGTCTGTTCCAGAGGTTGAGGGAGTGCCTCACATGAGAGGGTGAGGATCAAGGGTCAAGGGTGAAAGGGTGAGGGTCAAGAGTAAGGTCCTTCAGCTGTCCCAGGTGGAGAGGGACCATCTCAGGAAGACCTGTGGGCATGGCTTTGTCTAATGAAGGGACATTCACTGAAGACCTACAAGATGCTTGAGGAATCTGTTTCACAAGACACTGCCAGTTTGGACCCCAGGGGTGGAGAGAGGACAAAACGCAGGGGGCCACACGGCCCACACTGGCCCTGGCAGGAGCAGGCTGGTGCCGCCTCGTACACGCACGCCTGCTGCTCCGTGAAGGGAGGATGACTCGGAGCGGAGCCAAGAGCCCACGGGGCGGAGACCCACTCGAGGCACTCCAGAGGGGGCTGCCTTTCAGAACAGCCATGGCCGGGGGCTCCTCTGACCCCCCATGCTCCCCCTTTTTGGGCAGAATGTCTATGGCTATGATGCCTGTCCCACCACGGTGTGATGGGTGCGCGGGGAAGATGACTTCACAGACACAGAGGAACTGTGCCTGACAACCTGCCCGACAGCAGATCACACCCAGAAGCCAGGTGCCTGACTCGCAGGAGGCGCGGATGCTGTCATGGCCCAGACTCTCCAGCGGCAACCACTGTGTTCTGCACGTCTGAGGGACTCGGCTCCCAGGGCGGCAGGCACTGCTCAGACACACTGCAGTCTCTAGTGGTCACACCTTTTTGCAGTCCCCTCCCCATGAGCGCGGGCAGGATGATGACCCGCTTCTAACCAACAGAACACGGTCCAGGTGATAGGCTATCGTTCCCATGATTCTGCTGTGTTATACCACAAACATAAAGGTATTTTGGATGAAATTAAGTCAGCTGACCTTGAATTAATCTACAAGAAGACTGTTCAAAAAAGATTTAAAGCCACTTTTCTAGAAGAGGACCACCTCTAATTTCATATGTAGAAACTTCTGGTTATCTCTAACCAAGGAAGGCTGCCAACCTCACTCAAAACGGAGTGGAGGGTGGACACTGGCTTAAGGCAAGAGCAGGCAGGAGAACCAGCAAAGCCAGGGGCGGTGGGGAGGAGTGTGCATGGAACGGCATTGGGCTGTCAAAGGGAAAAACACTCAAAACCATAAACACCAAGTATATTGTGGGATGGACACTTACGTGACAAAAATCAGTTAATGTTTATTCTTAGTTGTTGAACAAATAGTTATTTATACAAAAGTATAAAAGTATGTTACCATCTCAAGGATGCTATGGGAAGATTTAGGGTGGAACCACCAGGCCATCCATCACAGCCCACTGGATGGCAGCTGACTTTCATCAGAGATGAAGTAACAGAGAAGAAAGAAATCTCACCTTTGTGAGAAGGTCTGCTCTAACACTGATGACAGGAGGGAGAACGGAAGTTCAAGTGAACTCCCTGGGGGCCGTTCTCAGTTAAGTGGAACAATGCAATTAAAAGCTAAGAATAAGAGATGAAGAACATAGCGGGGAAAAGACTTTTCAGAAAATAAATTTTTTGCCCTGAAGAAGGTGGGTGTTAAAAAAAAGGGGCAAGGGGTACATGGGAAGTTAAAGTAGAAACGTATGCAGAATTCTGTGAAAGCAGAGAGTCTAATCATCAAGTTCTAGAAACAGGGCACCCTGGTAACCAGATGATAACAGAAGGAAGACGATCCCTACACAATAATATTTTGAAGCTGAAGCATGAAGGGAAAGGTGAGATAGAACGTCTTACAGGCAAGCGTCTAAAAATTCTAGAACGCTAAAAAACATTCCAACATGTTGGATAAATGAAGGAAACATTTTAGAAACTACATAGCAAAGAAGTACAAAGACTTTACTCTGGCTTACATAACAGAAACAAAACAGAATGTGAGGTGTTTTCCCAAAGCCAGAATTTGAACGCTAAGTATTAACAATGACAGAGAAAGGAGAATTAAGGAGGATACGTGGCCAGTTTAGCATCACAGACATTTCATGGCCACAAACGTAAAAGGTCCCAGAGACTGGAGAGCAAAAGAGTAGTCTGGGATGAAGCTTATTAAGGAACATGAACATCCAACATGCATGTGTCCACAGAGAAGCTGTTATTAGGGAGTACTGAACGGTCACGGACACTCCTTCTCTCTCAACTATTATCACACATACAGGCAACGAGAAAGAGGCAAATCCAGCTACCCTCCTGCGTGGCATGCTTAACTAACGTACGAGGACACCTAGGTCCACCATTCGAAAACCTCGGCACATTCAATTCCCCTGCCCCAAGGGGTCTCAGTTCCTGGAACAGCTGAGATTCCAGCTTCAACTCTTAGACTTCTGATTCTATTAACTGCTGCAAGCATCCACCCCCAATATCACAACTTCTCTGTGAATGAGGCACTTCCTTTGGTCGTCAAATCTTATAAATCACGAGGCGATCCATCAGCAACGTACAACCAGTCTTGCTAGTCCTCTAGCTGGCGCACACAAACACCTAAGAATACTTACTTTTATTGTAGCAGGTGGCCAGCACACCTTTGTCTGCAGGACTGGCACTGATGTGCCAGATTTCACCCACTTGATGGAGGAGGACATTTTTATTTATAATGTTATTTTCGTCGTCAAAGTCTATGATGTGGATCTACAAATACAATAAAAGAGCACATCAGGATCTTAAACTCTCTCCACGTACCGTAAAGAGTGACTACAAATAAGCAAATGCATCTTTAACCTCTTTAATGAACTGTTATTACACTAACAGTACAACCTCTGTAAGGTCACCTCACTGTATTCCTCTCAGAACACAGGTATAAAATCCCTGTAGAGTACTGTTAAGACAGCAAGCTCCATAACACTGCCCTGGGTCAGATCCAGTCCGAAAGAAAACAGACCCCAAAAGCTCTGTCCCCAAGTGGCTTGGTTAGGCCACGGCTGGTGTTAGGGCCAGAGTCATCCAGGGTGGAGCAGGAGGAGGGTGGAGGGTGCTGCTGCCTGAGCAAGACTGGGAGTGACCATACGGTGCCCTCTCTGCAGCAGACATGACTCACAGGTCAGCAGGGACTGAGGTGGGAAGGACTAGGAAAGGACTGGACGTGAACACATCTTCAACTTTTTAAAAATGAGTCCATTTTTAAATTTTAGCCACTAAATGAAAAGTTAAATCTGCTATGTCCATGCTTTTCTGGATAATTTTTAGAGGAATTAAAATGATGTTCACATTCACTCTCATCATACCCAAGTCAATGAGAAAAATTAAACACTTATTTTAAAAATAAATTTATACTAAGAAAATATTCATGGATCTGCACAGAGATTTATATCTAAGAATGTTCACTATGGCATTGATTATCATAATCAAAAATCAGAAGCCACCTAAATGTCTGGTAAAAGGGAACAATTCAAATAAACTGTAGTATTTGACCATTACATAACACCATGGAGCCATTCGATATATTATAAAGGACCATTTCGTGCCAAGAAAAGGGTCCATAATATATATTTAAGGGGAAAAGAACAAATAAAAGAGCTGCGCAAACGCGACATGCACTGTTTCTTTAGAGAGGTATGCCTGTCCAAACGAGAGAACTGGACGGCAGCTGGTTCCCTCTGGATGGTGGGATTGCAGCGGTGTTTCCTTTACTTCTTTGTGTGTCATTTGCATTTTTAACATTTTTTCATGATTAGTATGTGTTACCTTGCAATCAAAACAAACATTAAATGCTATTTTAAAAAATGTTTCCAAAAGCATCGACACCAGACTCGCTTCAGAGGCTCCGGCTCGACTCCTACTGCTCCTCTCGTGCAGTGAATCATGTCAGAATCACTCCAGTCTCCTAAGGGTCGCTTTGGACTCAGAGTAGAACTCAAACCCCACCACTGCCACTTAAAACCTGCATACCATAAACCTCAATTTCCCCAAGTGCACGATGAAGATGACGGTATGCACCTCCAGGATTACGAGACACCGAGTGCACGGCTTCCCTCAGGGTGAGGGCCCGAAAACACAGGCACCTCCCCTTCTCTTCCAGGGAGAGATTAAAAACCATTACTATTATTTTTAGCTTTAAAACTATTTTCAGTAAGTTTCTTCTGGCACTCATAGCGCAGTGCAGTTTTCACACTGGGTTCAGAAATATTCTGGTGGGCAACTTCTAAATTACAAATTACATATCTAAGAACTAGCCAACTATAACACGGCACTTTTTTTTTAAGTGAAGGTTTATCGTACTCTTTTTCCTTTCCACATCCGTGGGAATTTTACCTGCACAAACTTTTTCCCTCTGTGGACATGTTATATATTTAAAAATCTATTGATAATTATGAAATGATTATTGACAAGAATATTTGGCAGTACTTCCTAAAGATAAACAGACATATGTCCGCTGACCCAGCAATTCTACTGCTGGGTACGTACCCAAGAGACAATAAAAGGAAGACGTGTGCTGCTGGGCATATACCCGACAAACTCTAAGACAAGACAGGTGTGAGAGTGTTCACAGCAGCTTTCTTCACAGTAGCCAAAAACGGTACACAGCCCCGATGTCCATCAACAGTAGAATGGGTACATAAATTGTGGTATAGTCATAAAATGGCATACTTACAGTAATGAAAACTAACAAATTACAGATATACAGCACAACGGAGATGAAACTCACAGACAATATCAAAGGAGAAAATCAGATATCAGAGCAACATACGGTATAATTCCATTTGTATGAAGTTCAAAAGCAGAACAAATCTAGGGTGAGAAAGCAGTGGTCACCCACGGCAGGGGCTAGGGCTGAGGCTGGAACACAGACTAAAAGGTAATATACAAAATCAAGAATAATCTTTGTGTTGTTAGGATGAACAGGAAATTTTTTCTTCAGTATCTGACACATTCCCTACTTGTCAGGAAATCCACTGACAGTGAAAAAAAGGATGCACTTGAATACACTAGTTTTCTGTTCCCAAGATCCATCCCTCTGCAGTGCACCAGAGCATCAGGAGCACTTCCTGGTGGGAGCACTAGAGCTCTGGTTTCCAGATTCCTCACTTGCCGGTTCTGCCCACCCACCCATCAGGAAAGTGCACGGTCCTCCTCGCACACCATCCTCCCTGCACACCATCCTCCCCTGCACGCCGTCCTCCCTGCAAACCATCCTCCTCGCACACTGTTCTCCCCCCACACCATCCTCCCCACTCACCATGCTCCCTTGCACACCGTCCTCCCCTCACACCATCCTCCCCACTCACTACCCTCCCAGGGCACCGTCCTCCCCGCACACTGTCCTCCCCACTCGCCGTCCTCCCCGCTCGCCATCCTCCCTGCTCACCGTCCTCCCCGCACACCATCCTCCCTGCTCACCATCCTCCCCTGCATGCCGCCCCCCCCGTACACCATCCTCCCAGCTCGCCATCCTCCCTGCACTCCGTCCGCCCTGCATCCTCCCCTGCACATCATCCTCCCTGCACACTGTCTCCCTCGCACACCATCCTCCCAGCTCGCCATCCTCCCTGCACTCCGTCCTCTTTGC